CAATAATCCCCTTCCCCCGTATCTTCTGCTATTCAGCTTTTGAAGTAACTGTTTCTCATCCAATAAAAATTTTCTGGATTTTCAAAGACAAACACATCTCCAGGGAGCAATTTTTGTCTTGCAGAAGTGTAGATGTTTACAATGGCTAATAAGCCACACCAACTCAGTCTGGGAAATCAATGTTTCCATCCTTTATGTGACCCAAAGCTCATTAGCGACACCTTGAAGCCACAGAGAAGCCAGATATCATTTGAGCAACATGAAGATGAAGGCTGCCTGCATGTTCAAAGTACTGATCCAGCTCCAGCTGTGCAAATATGGATGGCCCATGAAACAAGTGCATAGAGAGAAATCTATGGGGATGGGGGTGGAAGAGAGAAAATGAGACATGGTTCTTTCTAGACATTATTAGTAAAATTCTGCAGGGATAGATTTTAAAAATTAGGAGTTACCTTAAAAGCTGAGCAATTAGACCATGTCCCACAACTAAGAGGGTGGGGTGATGGATCAGCAGTTAATATGCTAGGCTTGTCGGCTAGAAAGGTGGCAGCCCAGGTTCAAGACCTGAGCGCCAAGTGATGGGATGAGCTCTTGTCCTCGCCTGAGCTGCTGCCAACCTAGCAGTTCGAAAGTACACAAATGCGAGTAGATAAATAGATACCACTTTGCTGGGATGATAACAGTGCTCCATGTTGTCATGGCCACATGGCTGCAGAAATGTCTTTGGACAACTCCGGTTCAATGGCCTTGAAACGTAAATAAGCACCGCCTCCTATAGTCAGCAACGACTAGCGGAGTAAAATCCGCAGGGACTCCTTTACCTTTTTTTACCACAACTAAGAATTGAAAGGACTATGCATGTTTAGGAGAAGCAAAAATGAGAACTCAGAGCTAATAAGCATTAGATGCCCAGTTATTTTGAAAAAGGAGTTGCAGAGAAATAGATTTCAGCTAACAGAACCTTCAACAGAAAATATTCTTACAGTAAGAACTGTTGTCTAAAGACTGTCTTCAGGCAGTGGGTTCTCGTTCAATAAGCACACTGAAAAAGAGGTTGGACAAATGTCGGAAGAGATGCTGTCATGGTTCCGACAGATGAAACTCTTCAAAAGAACTTCGAGGCATTGTTTACCTTAAATAATCTTTTATTTGAGAAACAAAGTATCAGCACTACAAAGTAACAAAGCACAATTCCCTCGTCCAATAAACAGTCATAAATCACATTCCCCAATTAGCTTGAAGCACGGGCTTTCTCCCCAGCTCTCCAGCCCGCCAAAACTCTATCAACTCTGGGCCCAATGACCTTGGGTTCCCACGGCTGAGTTATTATTGTTATGACTCTCATCCACATTCCCCCTCCCAGCATCAACTAACTCTAAAACAATAGTGAAAAATGGCTGCATTTCCATCTGTTGTCAAAGCAAAAAATCCGATGTTAGCAGCGTTGACAGATGCTGCCATTGTATCTTGCAAGCACTATAGTGTATGGAGTAGTGTTCATTATGGAGTGAGTTCATTAGGTCAGTCCTCCATAATCTGGCACCTCCTTATGTGTTGGGACTTCTCCTTTCAGAATTCTGCAACCATTGATCATGCTACCTCAAAATTGTGAAAGCTGCAATTCTTCCACATCCGTAGTGGGTAAGATCAAAGGAAAGTTGGGATATATAATTTCCAAATCTCTTCAAATGTTATCATTGTATGAGAGTGGAGAATCCTGGACTACACTGAAACAGCCAATGGATTCAATGTGATATAAAGGAACGAAGAATCAGAGCAAACCCAAAGATGCTTTTTCAAAAGGCAGCTGGGCTTTGTTTTTCCTTGAAGACATTTCGCTTCTCGTCCAAGAAGCTTCTGACTGAAGTCATAACTGAGTCAGTGAGACTGAGTCAGAACTGAGTAAGTTTCTTGGATAAGAAGCGAAACCTCTTCAAGGAAAAACAAAGTCCAGCTGCCTTTTGAAAAAACACCTTTGGGACAACCGTGATCTGGGTGACTGAGAATCTCCATAGACATAAACCAGAGGTAGGCAACCTTGGCTCTTTTATGACTCGTGGACTTCAACTCCCAGAATTCCTGAGCCAGGATTCTGGGAGTTGAAGTCCACGAGTCATAAAAGAGCCAAGGTTGCCTACCCCTGACATAGATAATCAGAGGAAACTCTTTTCATAATTTACCCGTTTAAAAACCCTGATCAGATTCAACATTACATCAGCAGGGTATTGGTTAAGAACAATCTAGATTTTCTTGTGGTGATCCCTTTCCCTTTGGCTCACTCAGTCAAGGGTTGGATGGTACCAAAACCTGCTGTTAAAAGAATGGCCTTCCGCTGAACTGGGATGATTGGCCTGCTAGATATTCCAGTGTTTATTCACACAATCCTAAGTAAATTTATCCAAGAATAAATCCCATCAAAGATGAGACTTGCTTCCAAGTCAACTTGCACTGCAAAACACATCACATGCAACATTCCCATACCTGCTACAAAGTGGCTTTGTGAGGTTTTATACTCAATCTCGGGGTTTGGGGGTTAGATGCCATTCTACAGTAAGGACTGTTCCCTTTTTTTTTCAACTGTGATTTCTGAATCAAATCATGGGATTTTTTGGAGAGATGCAAAGTAGCATATTCCTGTTTAATGAGAACAATCCAAGCCTCCTATATTGCCATCACAGATGCATGCACAAACTGTGCTTGGATTGTTTGTCTGCAGAGTGGTGTAGCAATGGGATTAACACCCCTCCCTGAACTTCAGGCTTGTGAATATAGTGGGGAGAACCAGGCAAATCTAATTTAAAACAACTGAGCAGCCAAAAAGTGGGCTTATGCTCTGGGCACAGGGCAGCAAAAGGCTTGACTGAAGCTCCAGGGGAATATGAAAAGCAGAAAGGGAAGCAAAGCATCCAGCTATCAAGTGGGCAGCTGCAGAGAGACCGATGGCATCTGTCTGGGGAATGCAACAGGGATGTGGGCAACTGAGGTGGGAGGTAATGAGGGCTATAACTGGAAGAAACTATCTAAATTCAGCTATCCTTTCTGGAAGTTCAAGCATTTGCCTGCTGAATCCCAAGAGCCCATCCCAGACAGCCCTAATTACAGAATGCCTGCAGCAGACAAGAAGAGAAAAGAGTTGTCAGAGGAAGCAAGAAAACAAGGAATTGGACGAAGAAGGAATGGCATAGCTTGATGGGCTATGTCAGACTATATGAATACCATCTTTCAAGGCAGGGAAGAAAAATACGCTGCTCTGGTCAGTCAGCTACTAACCAGAAAAGCACTTTCCAGTTTTTTCTTGTGCTTTTCATATCAGCGTGACTTGAAAAATCGGCCGGGCTTGCAACATTAGCTAGGAAATTGTAATGAGCATTATTACAGATGCAGTCACTGCTAAGGAAGTTGAACTATTGCTTTTAGCATTTGTTTCACTGTATTTTGTTTTTAATTATACATTGCTCTGCTGAAATTTGCCCAGCTGGTTGACCTTGGCTGATCTTAACAACATAAGCTGAATGATGGTGGTCTGTGGGTCCCATTAATTAAACTGTGTCATCTTATCAGAGCCCAGATTGGACCTGTCCTCTGGAATGATATTCCCCAGAGATTCATGTGGCTCCCACTCTTATGACATTTAGGACATTGTTAGGGACCTGGTAGTTCTCCTAGGCTTTAGGACAGAATGATAATGGGGCTCTGTAATGGTATGTGTGAATGACGTGCTTCCTGTCTGGACTACCTCAAAGGGCTATCAAGCCTCCTTTAGTTATCATTGATTTATAACTGGTGAACTGCTCTTCCAATTGGCTGTGACCTTTTTTTCCATGTATGGTTTTCTTTTTGTTTGTAAGCCATCTAAAATTGTCAAGACAATCCAAAGTTGTCAAGAAGTCAGTTAGCTTTGAAATTTGATAAATAAGATAAAAATAAAATAAAGTTATTTGGCTCAGTCTGCACAGGATAATTTCATTTTATTTATTTGATAATGTTTATGCTGCATTCTGCATAGACTAGGATTGGAACCCAGTACTTTCCAGCCTTGTAACAGATTCTGAGATGGAGCTCTTAAACTACATATGATTTCACTGTTGTCCCCTAATCATAGCATTCTCTCCTGAAACGTTTAGATCGCATGAGCAGCTGGGTCAGCCATGAAGTGATCTATTGGGCTTCATGTGATCATTTTTTTTTGCACCCACCCCTGGTCATGCCAAAAACTTCCTACTGTGAGATGGACAGACGAATGGTAGGTTCTGCTGTCTAAATTAAGGCATAGCTAATTACAGAGCGCTTTGTTCTAATGTGCTCATACGAATCAGGCAAGTGAGTTAATTAATATTTATGCAACACTCACGCTTGCCACGGGAGAGAACGTTCAATTGTTTGGAACAGAGCAGGGAAAATATGAAGCTAGCCACAATAGGGGTTGCATAGGAGCAGAGATCCATGTGAGGCAGCCCTCCCCCCCAAAAAAAGAATTTCCAGCAGGCTAATCTAAAAAGCCAAGCTGCTTCTCCATGCCTAACACCTAACACTACCAACTGAAAGGCATCATGCAGCCTTTGTGACTTTCCCTCCACAGTAGATTTGTTTGTTGTACAAAACAGATAGATAGAAGTAGCGGAGAGGCATAAAAAAGTTAAATGTGTTTGGTAACATAATCTGGATCTCCCCATAAAATTCCATGAACGAGGCAGGGAAGCTGCATAATGATCTGGAAGCATTTCAAGACAAAGTCTTCGACAAGCATGAACACCGATGAGAAATCCAGATGGTTGAACAGCCCGATACTAGCTTCAGGTCCCTTCTTGTTGAACTTCCATGGAATCCCGTAGTCATGTTCCATCTTTGCACTAAGTTCCCAATTTCTATCTGGTTTACATGAGACAATGCAGTGAAGGCATCTATTCTAACTGCAATCATGATGTAAATTTCTCTCCCTAGCAAAATTCTACTGCTTTTATTAATCAATTGTGAAAGAAACGCAAGGCAACCTTACTCACTCTCATCAGGATTTGGGGCAGCGAGGATGGCACTATGCTTTCGCTTCACCTCCTCCACATTTTCTGAGATCTTCTCTATGAACCCACGGATTTCTTCCACCTGAGGAAAAAAAAAGCCTGGCATGATTGTAGAATTTAAACTCTGGATCCTGAAGCCAGCTATAATGAATGCTAATGTCAACCCTCCGGCTGATGAATTCAACATTAAAGAAACTCTACAGCCTTGAGATGCCATAAGAGATAAATTTTTATTGAATATACATCCCAGCACTGAAGAAGTAATATTAACACTTAAGTTTCCCACACAAAGTTCTGGTTAGTTACCAATAGCTTTTCATAACCCCCACCCACCAGGTGTTCACGTTGGCCAATCACATTCTTTCTGTTTGTTATGGGAATGGTTCACTTCTCTGCCAGACACCTGCTTTGGATGACCCTGGTTCTCACCGTCCATGGATGGCTTCCTGAAACTTCCCCACCCCCATTTCTATGGCTATAGAAGTTAGCAAGCATCTTAGCAATTCAACCTTGACAGCTACATATCTTGGGATAAATATATTAAAAATTGATCAATCAAATAGCAATAGCAATAGCACTTAGACTTATATACCACTTCATAGTGCTTTATAGCTCTCTCTAAGCGGTTTACAGAGTCGGCATATTGCCCCAACAGTCTGGGTCCTCATTTTACCGATGCTATCAACCAACTTGATTACAATCCCATTGTTAAATTAACCTATTGTTTTATCCCTCC